CCTCCTCTTTTCCAATAGGGTGAGTCTCCATGCTCTTTGAGGGTCAATTGTGTATCTTCACCCTCCATCCGCCAAGTGGGTGTCCTGCCTCTGCTCACCGTTCCGCTCCCAGGATGGGGCGCCCACTACAAACGTGCGGGCAGCTCATTGCACCCGTGGCCCACCCTCCGGAAGCAGGTACCTTCCCAGCCTGAGTGGAAGTCTGCCTCTGGTGGGTGTCGTGTTCTGACCCGACTCCGGGCCCTCTGCGGCCCCACGAGCAGGTGTTGTCTAGCTCCCCTGCACTTATCTTGGCGGGGGGGAGAGCTGGCCTCCCAGAGCTGCCTCCCGCCACCATGGCCCTCAGCTTATTTCTGCTCAGTATATCTGAACGCTCCATCGTCGACAGGCCTCCGCTGCTGGAGAGGGCAGATGTGGACCCGAGGGGCGTGGGGCCTTCCCCTCCGCGCCACCAGAGCTTGGGCTTCTGACCTGCCCTCCTCCCACGGACACTCACTGCTCTGCAGGCCAACCTTCCCCTCCTCCCACCCCTGGTGTCTCCTGCTCAGAGGACGGCAGCTGCAGCTCTCTCCTCCCAGCGCACTCACTGGCTCTCAGTTTGTTTCTTTTCCCGTTGGGGCTCACGGCAGACACCAGGTGGAGTCTCCAGGAAGCAGATTCTGAGATGCGGTCCAAGAGGGAGGACGTGTACTGGGGGCGCCTCTTAAGATTGACGCCCCTGGAAGGGAGGGGCAGAAGCAGGACTTAGAAGGAGAAGTTGAGCTTTGATGTGGACCCAGTGACAACTACCATTGACCTCCCGGGGGCCCTGCACCTACAATGGCCGTTTGAGTTGTCCTGAGGTCCATATGACTGAGCCTTTCATCTTGTGCAGGGACCAGACACTGGACGGGGCCCCAGGAAGAGCCGGCCCTTGGGCAAGGTGGTTCTGAGCAGCTGAGGTCTAAAGACCCTTCACTGAGGGGGATCTGGGTGGCACAGCCCAGGGTCCACCATATGTGGGCCAGTGCGGAGGGGAGTGGGGATGTTCTCGACGTTATCCTGCTCTTAAGACGGCCTGAGATTGCCTTTGCTCTCTGGACGCTGCACACACCTCTGACTCACACCTCTGACTCACAGTGAACTTATTGTTGGCGAAAACCACTGCGCCCCATCTGGGGCCTGTCCGCTGGGTTTTGGGGCTGCAGTGCAGGACTCCACATTTGCCCGGTCATGTTTCATCTTGTTAGGCTTGGCTCCTTGCTCTGGGCTGGGGAGATCTAGCTTGGATCCTGACCCCCTCCCAAGACCCAGGCCCTGCATCTGCTAGCTCCTGGGCTTCCGCGGTTTCTCTCAGCAGCCCCGCTGCCTTCGTCATGGTCTGGGGCACGGCCCTCTCCTGGCAGCACGGCCCCAGATGGACAGACCACCGCATGCCAAGACCCACGCACTCAGGGTGAGCTCTAAGCCAATTCGGCAGGGTAGTCAGGTGGCTAAGGGCTGGGCACGAATCTGGGTTGTCTGTTGACTTGTTGGGTGGCCTTGGATGTGCCTCGGTTTCCTTACCTGGAAAACCGGCATAACAGCAGTTCTGACCACCCAGGATTACGTGAGGCTGAATGGAGGTCTGATTTAGGTAGCCGCAGGGAAGAGGGGGTAGGGGACAGGACCGGCTTGGAGCCCACCCTGTGAGTCCTGCTGTGGCCTGAACTGCCCTCAGCAGTTGTCCCAATGGTTTCACGCATGAGGTGGGGGCCGTCCCCTCTGCTTGCTGTTTTGCATGTGAGGTGGTCCCCTGAGGGACATGGCTCATAAGGGCCTGCCAGGGGATGCTGTATTTGCTGTCTAACTCTCTGCTGTCCTCACTGGCAAGGTGGATACAGCCTGGGGTTTGGAATTAGAAGGCTGATCTTCAAGATCTAAGATAAAAGGTATAAACTTCCAGCTACAAGATAAACGAATCTCAGGGATAAAATGTACAGTATGGGGAATATAGTCAATGATATCGTAAAAACTTTGTATGGTGACGGATGGTGACTAGACTTATCGTGGTGATCATTTGTGATGTATAGAAATAGTGAACCACTGTGTTGTACACCTGGAACTAACATAGTGTTGTAGGTCATTTATACCTCAGTTAAAAACAAAAAGGAAAGAACCTAAACTGATCACTTATCACTGTGTGACCTCGAGTCTCCCCTGCAGTCTGGGGCTCCTTCTTTGTAGAATTCCTACCTGAGACTTGTTGAGAAGATTAAACAAGGTCACGTATGTGTGTGAGTTGACTAGGGCAGCCATAACAAAGTACCACACAGGGGTCAGCTGAAACAACAGAAGTTAATTTCCTTAAAGTTCTGGAGGCTGGAAGTCCAAGATCAAGGTGCTGACAAGGGTGCTTTCTCCTGAGGCCTCTCGGATGGCCACCTTCTCCCTGTGTTCACATTCGAATCCAAACTTCCTGCTTCTATTTTTTTTTTCTTTGCGGTACGCGGGCCTCTCACCGTTGTGGTCTCTCCTGTTGCGGAGCACAGGCTCCGGACGCGCAGGCTCAGCGGCCATCCCTCACGGGCCCAGCCGCTCCGCGGCATGTGGGATCCTCCCGGACCGGGGCACGAACCCGCGTCCCCTGCATCGGCAGGCGGACTCTCAACCACTGCGCCACCAGGGAAGCCCCCAAACTTCCTCTTCTTATGACACCAGTCCTATTGGGTTAGAACCCACCCTAAGGCCCTCACTTTAATGTAATTATCTCTTTAAAGACCCTATCTCCAAATAGAGTCAGATTTTGAGGTAATTGGGGTTAGGGCTTCAATGTATGAATTTGTGTGTGAGGGAGACACAATTCAGCCTATAACAGTATGTGAAACTGCTTTGCCAACCATAAAACAGGTCTTGGGGTACTGGGCCTGACTCTGCCCACAGAAGAGGGTCTCTGTATGGTAAGGATCCTGGCAGGCCGATTCTGTTTGCACCAGAGTTGTTCTTCCTGTCCCTGGAAGGGGCTGGGAGCTGGCTCCTCTGCCTGCATCTCTCAGAGAACCAGCCCAGGCCCTGGGGGCTCTTTGTCATGGGTGTGGCCTCAGCGTCATCCGAATTGCCTATCCACTTGGCCATGGCCTTTAGGTTGCAAACTTCATTTCTCACAGAGTTTCTTGAGCCAAGCTGGCAGGCAACACCCCTGGAATTGGCCTCTGTAGGGGTCAGGCAGGTGTGGTCAGGTAATAGAACAGTGAGGGCCAGGTGGAGAGGGGCCTGACACAGGACACTCCCAACCTTGAGGTGGGTGGCTGCGGCCACAGGAGCAAACCCCACGGTGCTGAGCCCGAGAAGCAATTTTTGGTAAGAGAGTGAGTGAATGTGGATGGGAAAAGGTCCCTCTGGGATGCGGGGCTTGGGGTCAGATGAGTGCACCTTTATGGGGCCTGCCCTGAACCTGCTGTCCTCCGGAGCCTGTGGTCTTCAGGTGTGATGAGGGTTAAGATAGAGGCCTGCAGGGGGCCCTGTGGAGCAGGAGGTCAGGGAGGGCTTCCAGGAGGGGACAGAGCCTGAATGGAGATGGGTAGGGTAAGAGTTGGCTGCGTGAAAGAAGGTGGGATGGCATGCCAGGGAGGACCAAGTGACAGCGTAAATGGCAAGATGGAGCGTGGTGGGAGGTGACATCGGGGAGGTGGGTGGGAACCGTGGAGGATGGGGAGCTAGGAAAGGGTTTCCAGAGGCCGGGTGACAGGGCCAGATTTGTGGTTTAGGGAGCGCCCTCTGGTGGCACCTCGAGGAGATTGCAGGGAAACAGGGCGGATGCTGGCCGACCAGCAAGGGCCTGGCTGTGGGAATCAGGACTGTAGGACCAGGGCTGGGATGCAGGCAGGGCTTGCCTGACGTGGGGGCTGATCAGCTGTGGAGAGTAAGGGAGGGAAAATGTGGGTTCTGTGGCGATTTGCCCCTGGGGGTTCTGGGTCAGGGGACCGGGAACTTACTGGTGCTGGTCACTAAGATGGAGCGAGAAGGGGTTGGGTGGCAATGGTCTCCGTAGTGGATGGGTTGAAATGGTGTGTCCTGAGGTGTTCCATGGGCTATGAGGATGTGTGTCCATGCAAGTGGGGCACATATGTTGGGGTTCAAGAGGAAGCATTGAGGTGATGCCACACTGGGGTGGAGCAGAGCATGGGACAGTGACTTGGGGGCAGACTGGGTGGTCCTCTTGGGGAGGGAGATCACTGTCAAAGCCCTCGGGCTTGGTTCAGGCTCAGGGTCCTGGGGGTGGAGGGGAAGGTGAGATCAGGTCCCAAAGCAAAGCTCAGATAGAACTGGGGCTCATGGGCCGGTGTGGGAGGGGGTCCCAGGGTTAAGGGGAGAAGGGCTGATGTCGTGGCATCCTCCGGGTGAAATAGATGGGTTGGTTAGTTATGTTCAGAGGTGGGCATGGTCTGGCGGTGTCCTGAAGACCCCTCCATTCCATCATGACATGATTTCCTGAAAGCACTTAGCACTTGTTTTCCCAAAGGACTCTAAATTAAGGATTTCACGGCTTGGCCAAGCCACAGAGCCAGACACGTAGCGTGGCAAAAGCTGCTGTAGGAGCAGCCCCCAGGCCTGGTGGAACAGGGCCAAGTCAGCTTCTCTTCCCCATCAGGGAGCAGGGCCTCCCCTCATAAGACGGACCTGGAGGGGAGCAGATCCGTCCCCAAGGCTGGGAGTGAGTTTCCCATCCTGGACCCTCCACGAGAGCTCAGCTGAGGAGGGTGGGGGGGAGATGATGAAGGGAGGTCGCTGAGATGATGCCCCCAAATAAAGCCAGTCCTGCCCCATCCCGATGAAGGCTGCTGAGGCCACCCTTACTTCTTAGGCAGTTTGAAGACCAGCCCTGCCACCCCCCACATCTCTGCCCCTGGCCCAGTCCTTCCAGTAGGGTCACAGAAGGGGCGTACTTCTGCCAAGCCTGTCTCTGGGCGGAGTCATCTTGTAGCCCTTACAGCCTTGTTCACCCATCACTGTGCTGTGTGTTCACCCATCACCATGGTCAGGGGTGGGGGTGGGGGTGGGCGGTGGTGTGATGCCACCCACAAAACAGGAGACTCAGGAGACGGGGATCCTAAGGGGGACCCCATATGGGAGCAGAGTGCCTGACACCGAGATTTCCTGGAGCTGCGGGTGCCTGGAGATGAATGGGGTTTAGATTCCATCTGAAAAGGCCCGGAGCCCTCTTTGCTTGTCTCTGCCTGCCTTCTTCGTTGTTTTTGGCCAGGTTTTAATTTTGGGAAACCATTTACAGCCCATTAAAAGATCAAATGTCTGGAGATGATGAATCAAGGCATTTGAAAATGTTTTCCAGTTCATAGCTCATTTCCCTATAGAAAGCTCTGACCCAGAGGTGGCTGGACTCTGTCTGTTCCAGATCGCCAGGGGCAGATCTCAGGGTGGAGCATTGTCCTTGGATTGGACAGCAGTTCATCCCGAAGAGACTCATGCTGAATGCCCGAGGTGGTACTGATGCTCCCTGGTAGAGATGGAGGAGGGGTCCAGGCCCAGCAGAGGCAGTGGTTTGCATTGTACAGGTGGGACCCTACTGGCCGCCTGGGCAGGAAGGTTGGATTCCCTTCCCAGCTCGGCCTCTGATTTGAGCCATGGGCAGTGAGGTTTCATCTCTCAGTACTCCTTTTCCCATCTGCAAAATAGGAAGGACAGTCCTTACCCTTGTATGAACGTTGCGGGGTTTCGGTAGCCAGCTAATCAGTCATGACACCTGGGGGTAGGTAGTGCCACATGGATCTGCTCGTTTAGTCCTCACAATAACCTTGAGAGGTAGAATTTTTTTTATTTAACTGAGGCTCAGAGAGGGAACATCACTTTGCTCAAGTCACACAGCAGACTGGTGGCAGAACCAGGTCTCCTGATGCCTTTGGGGAGAGGGATCAACTTTTGATTACTTTTTCATGTTCTTTCATGGTATTTTTGACTGTGCCAATATATTCTCCTAGAAAATTGTCAAGATTTTGAAAAATGTTGATGTAAGATCAGACATAATATTTACTTACAATTTCTAATCTCTATGGGGATTTTTTTCTTGTTCTTAATGTCTTCTTATGTCTTTTGTTTGTTTCTCATTAAAAATTGTCTAGGTTTTGTCTATTTGATTTTTTTTAGACCTGTGTTTGATTTTGTTGATTCACTTTTGAAAGTAATCTATTTCATTAATTTCTTTTTTAAAAAATTTGATTTATTTTTGGCTGCATTGGGTCTTCGTTGCTGCACGCGGGCTTTCTCTAGTTGTGGCGAGCAGGGGCTACTCTTGGTTGCAGTGCGTGGGCTTCTCATTGTGGTGGCTTGTCTTCTTGCGGAGCACGGGCTCTAGGTGCGTGGGCTTCAGTAGTTGCAGCACGTGGGCTCAGTAGTTGTGGCTTGAGGGCTGTAGAGCACAGGCTCAGTAGTTGTGGTGCACGGGCTTAGTTGCTCCATGGCATGTGGGATCTTCCCTGACCAGGGAGCAAACCCGTGTCCCCTGCGTTGGGGGGTGGATTCTTAACCACTGCACCGCCAGGGACGCCCTATCTCATTAATTTCTGCTTCCATCTTTGTTAATTCCTTTCTTCTCCTTTCTAATTTCATTGTCTTCTAATTACTGTGTTTTCTGTTACTACTTTCTTGCTTTTCTAGCATTCTGTTGGGTTAATCAAATCTTTGTTTTACTTCTTTCTTTCATGGTTTGCCAGTTTTATGTCCTCTTCCTACACTTTCTAGTATTTACCTTAAAATTAAAAAAATTTTTTTAATTTAATTGTATATTTATCTACTGCACCTAAAGTTGCACAGTTTCTATATCCTTTCCTTACACAACACAAAAATCTCAGCAAATATTAGTTCCTTCTGTCCCCTCTTTGCCATTGTCCATATTTAGATCCCCTTGGATTTTAGATCTAGGCTGTTTTTAAATCTTATTATTGTTTCTTTGTTTGTAACTGCTCCTCATATATAATATATTCCTCCTATGCTCTCCTATGTCCGTTAGTTTGTTGGAATACATCCTCTCGTAATTCTTTCAGAAAAGGTGACTGGTAAACTTTCTGAGTTCTTGTGCATCTGAAAATGTCTTTATTTTGCCTTCACCTTTGAAGAAGAGTTTGTTCAGGTATAGAATTCTGGGTTCTAAATATTTCCCCTCAAAACTTTGAAGCAGGTGTGTCACTATATCCTCGACTCTGACATTGCTCATAAGAAATCTAATTTCAGTTTATTGTAGGTGATTTGTTTTTTCTTTTCTTTCTTCAGTGTTTAGTATTTTCTCTTCATTCTGAGTGTTCTGAAATTTCACCGCAATATGTCTGTCTTTGTTCATCTTGCTTAGCACTCAGTGGGCCCTTTTGAATTAAGAATTCATGTCTTTTACAAATATCATAGGATATCACTTATGTGTGGAATCTGAAAACATGATACAAATGAACTTATTTACAAAACAGAAATAGACTGACAGACATAGAAAACAAACTTATGGTTGCCAAAGGGGAAAGGTGGGGGGAGGGATAAATTAGGAATCTGGGATTAATAGATACACACTATAATATATAAAATAGATAAACAACAAGGACCTACTGTATAGCACAGGGAACTATACTCAGTATCTTGTAATAACCTATAATGGAAAAGAATCTGAAAAAGAATATGTATATATAACTGAATCACTTTGCTATATACCTGAAACATTGTAAATCAACTATATCTCAATTAAAAAATAAACATTATTCACACACACACACAAAAGAATTCATGTCTTTCTTCAGCTCTGGGAAATATTCTTTATTATCGCTTTAAGTCTATACTCCCCTGTGCTCTCTCTGATCTCCCCTTCCAGGGCTACTAATAGATGTATGCTGGAATTTGGTCTGTCCTCCAGGTACCTCACCTTTTCTCACACATTTTCCATCTCTATGTCCCTTTGCAGTATATCCTTGGAAAGTTCACGGCTCAGATTTCCAGCTCATCAGCTCATTCCTTAGCTTTGTCTGTTCTGTGTTTTCAGCCCATCTGTCGAGCCTTTTTATTTTCACAGTCATACATTTCATTTCTAACATATCTAATTTTTTGATTTCATGATATTTCTTATGAGTATTCTATCTCTTTAAGGACTTTAATTGTGCTTGAAAAAACTGTCTCCATTATTTGCTTCATTAATTGTTTTTTCTTGAAGTGTGATTTATTATCTGTTGAGTCAGTGCCTTTCTTTCAGGGTATTGGCCTTTTTTCTTAAATAATTTGAAATTCTTGGCATTTGGGGTTTTCCATTAGCTTGTCTCTGTTTCTCTGTTCACTGCTGCTTTGCCTCTTGGAGGGTTGGTGGTATAGGATAAAGAATGGGCAAGAATTCAGTTGTCTGGGCTTCCCTGGTGGCACAGTGGTTGAGAATCTGCCTGCCAATGCAGGGGACACAGGTTCGAGCCCTGGTCTGGGAGGATCCCACATGCCGCGGAGCAACTAGCCCCGTGAGCCACAATTACTGAGCCTGCGCGTCTGGAGCCTGTGCTCTGCAACGAGAGGCCGCGATAGTGAGAGGTCGGCGCACCGGGATGAAGAATGGCCCCCCGCTTGCCGCAACTAGAGAAAGCCCTCACACAGAAATGAAGAGCCAACACAGCCATAAATAAATAAATAAATAAAAATTTAAAAAAAAAAAAAAAAAAAAAAGAATTCAGTTGTCTGACCTTGAGAGGGTCCCTGTTTCTTCTGGAGGTCATCAGCCTTTGCGGCACCCATTCTGACCACACCTGCCACAAAACAAGTGAGTGCAATGCCTGATTCTTGACACCAGCAGGGATAGGGATCCTTGTCCTACCTGTCTGGCTCCTTCTACCATGGTCCTTTGACAGTCACCTCTGCTGCTCCTGTTGCACCCACCTTGAGCCCCAATCTTCCCTGTGTGTTTTGGACTGTGCTTCCTCCTTCAATTTATTCCCATGTGCTTTTCAGTCTCTCAAGGATTCCTCAATCCTGCAGTGGGCAGCAGGATTCTGGCCCACTGCTTTTTGTTTTTGTTTTGTTTTCCAATGCTGTTAGGGACTTATTTTTACTTTATTTGTATTTTCTGCTTTATTGAGCTCCGATTGACAAATTTAAAAAGTGTTTATTCAAGTTGTACAACTTGATTTTTTTGGTTTAAAACATGATGATTTAATTGCATATACATCGTGAAATGATTACCATGGATTATTAACACATCTGTCATCTCACATAGCTACCTTTTTTATGTGTGTGGTAGGAACACTTAAGATCTATTCTCTTAGCAAATTTCAAGTATACAATATGGTGTATTGAACTATAATCACTATGTGCAGATCTAATCTGTACATTAGATGCCCAGAACTTATTAATCTTATAACTGGAAGTTTGTATCCTTTGACCAGCATCTCCCCATCTCTCCCATTCCCCCTCCCCTGGCAACCACTATTCTACTCTCTGGTTCTATGAGTTTGACATTTTCAGACTCCACTTATAAGTGAGATCATACAGATTTGTCTTTCTCTGTCTGACTTACTCACTGAGCATAATGTCCTCTAGGTTCATCCATGTTGTCACAAATGGTAGGGTTACCTTCTTTTTTATGGTTGAATAATTGTATTCCATTGTACATATACATTACATTTTCTTTATCCATTTATCTGTAGATGGACACTTAGGTTGTTTCCATCCTGGCTGTTGTGAATAGTGCTGCATTGAACGTGGAGGTGCAGATATCTCTTTGGGATACTGATTTTGTGTCCTTTGGATAGATACCCAGAATTGAGATTCCTGGATCATATGGTAGTTCTATTCTTAATGTTTTGAGGAACCTACCATAATGACTGCACCAATTTACATTCCTACCAACACTGTACCAGGGTTCCCTTTCCTCCACACCTTCAACCACTCTTGTTGTCTCATGTCTTTTTGATAATAGCCATCCTAACAAGTGTGAGGTGATATCTTATTTTGATTTGCATTTCCCTGATGATTAGTGATGTTGAGCACCTTTTCATATACCTGTTGGCCATCTATATGTATTCTTTGGAAAAATGTCTATTCAGATTTTTTGGCCATTTTTATTGGATTATTATTACTATTTTTTTGCTATTGAGTTTTATGAGTTCCTTATATATTTTGGATATCAATCCTTATCAGATAAATAGTTTACAAAAATCCCAAAGCTCCCACAAAGGCATTTTTGTTCGAGAATGGCTGCCAAATTATTGTTACTGAAGGGTATTGAGTAAGGGACCTCCTCTCCCACCATCTTGCCGATGTCACAGTGGGGACTTATTTTTAGATTTTCAATATCTAGGATCTGGAGATGGGAGGGGGAGGTGTCTGCCATCTTGATCCAATCACCATATTGTTTGCACATGTCCCCTCTTCCCCGCTGCAGGCCCCAGCTCAGGCCTCCTCAGCGCTTACACACTGCACCAGAGGGGCTTTTCTAAAATCAGACCCATCTGAGTCATTCCCCACCGCGCCCACCCCCCAGTCCTTCAGTGGCTCCCCACCAATGTCATAAGACCCACCTCTGGCAGGTTCCCCGCCTCTTCCTTTCTCCTGGCTACTCCCCTTCCTCCAGCCTCAGGCCACGCCTGGTTGCACGCTGGTCCCTGGCAGCTGCAGTCCGTCTCGCCAACGTGCCCTTGCTCACCCTGCTTTCTCCTCTGTGAACTGTCCCCGCTCATTGCCCCCACACTTTGGGTCTGCTGACTCTGACCTTTCAGTTCTCAGCTGATTGGCCTTTCTTAGGACCTGGGTTGGGGGCCCTGCTGGGTCCCCATAGTTCCCTGTGCTCATCCTGTGGGTGTTCCTGTGACCCAGTGTTCCCGTGTGTTCTCTTCATCTCGCCGACCGTCTTCCCCTCCAGAGTGGGATTTCCTGGCAGGGGGACAGCCTTTATCAATGATTTCGCACGGAGTGTTTGAAGACTGAAATGATGCTGGGGCTTGATGGCTAGGGGGTGTGGGTACTCTCCCTTCCCCTTAGACCGGTACGCAGGGTCTCAGTGGGCCCCTTACCCAGGAGCACCATCCCTCAGGCTTGTGGAGGGGCCCCTCCTCGGCCCGCACGGCCTTTTGATCCACAGTCGGCACCTCAGGAACAGGCAGGACTGACCTGACTGTTGCTCTCCCCACAGGCACTGGTGCCATCACACGGTGACACGGACGGTGTCCTGCCAGGTGCAGAACGGCTCAGAGACAGTGGTCCAGCGCGTGTACCAGAGCTGCCGGTGGCCCGGGCCCTGCGCCAACCTCGTGAGGTAAAGGCCGCGGGGCTGACCAGCTCTGCCTTGCCTTTCTGTTCCCTTGGATGAATCCAACCCTCGCACAGCTGCTGGGATAGGGGTGTTGACTCTCGGAAACAGAGTCGGACACGCATTTATGGAGCACCTTTTGTGTACGGGGCATGGGGGGTGTGCGTGCGCAAAGATGAAAGGGACATGCTCCCCACACGGAAGAGTCCTCACAATCCAGTGGGTATTTGATGAGCAGAAGGGCCAGGTGAGGCCCCCTCACACACCACGCACAAGCCTCGCCTCTCAAGCCCCGCCCCTCACGGACCCGCCCCCACAGCCCCGCCCACCTCAAGCCCGGCCCCTTTCACAGTCTTGCTCCTCTCGCCAGTACCTTCCGCTCCCAGCCCTCAGCAGCTTCTCGGCAATCACAGGGCGAGCGCTGAATGAATGACCAGACTTTCTGGGTCTCTGAGACCCCACCTTGCAGTGCCTCGTTGTCCTCTCCCCCTCCAGGCCCTGCTCCAGCTCCAGGGACTGGCTTCCCTTACGCCCTCACCCCCACACCTCTCCAGCCCTGCGTTTCTGCCTCAAAGACCCTTCCTCATCTCGCCTGGGACC